ATACAAAATATGCATACAAATTCCCGCAAACAAAGTGTGCTCCTCATTTGGTTGCTTAACTGCTGCAGAAAGCGATTACCGAAAAGCTTATTGCTTTTCATGCAGCACATTTGGCGCCCTATTTTTTAGTACAAGTACTATATGTAAGTGTACATTAGAGGTCTGCATCAGAAAGCTGTTGAGTTCACTACTTTCATTCTTACAGAAAGTTAAAATAGTGAAGAGGTATAGGTACGTATATGTAGAAAAGTTCCGAAAGACCTAAAAACCGCGTATTTTTCTATCAATGCCAGGAAATACATATAGTTCACCAAAATATTTGGGAAAAATATTAAGATTTAAGTGAAATGGACCGGTTCGAAAATACCTCCAAAAATGGAGTTTTTATGAATAAAAATAGTTTCGTAAAGAACTTTTTGAAAAAGTCCCCTCCGATGACAAAACAGATTAAGCTTAAAAAATCTGCATAAAAATATTTAAAAATCTTTTCAACGGAATCGTAAGAATGAGATTTTTGATGCTGTTTTTTTTTTACTTTTTTCAAAGATTGATTTACGAAAAACTTGAATAACTGGGCCAAAACTATTCTGATTTAGACTTATGGGATCTCAGTAGAAAGGTGTTTTCCCAGTGTTTTTATTTCTGTAAAAAAAAATCATTCGTGTCAAATACCAACACATCTTAATTCAACTTTGAATGACGTTCGTTCATCCTACCTTTCTCTTTCCTCCCCTGAATCAGTTTATTAGCCAAGAAATAAAAATGGTGAAAAAATATCTTTCCACCGACACCTCTTAAGTCTAAATCAGAAGAGTTTAGGCTCAGTTATTCAAGTTTTTCTTATACCAATCTTTGAAAAAAGTTAAAAAACAGCATCAAAATCTCATCATTACGATTCCGTTCAATTCTTTTTTTTTTTAATTTTTTTTAAATATTTTTATGCAATTTTTTTCAAAAAAAATTTTAAGAAACTATTTTTATTTATACCTACATTTTTGGAGGTATTTTGAAATTGGTCCAGCTCACTTAAATCTTAATATTTTTTCGAAATATTTTGGTGGACGTCTTAAAATATAATAGATTTTATAATTCCAATGGAAAAATAGTACCGATTTTTTTTTGTATGAGGAGTGATGCAGTCTAATGTACATAAATAGTATATAGATATGTATAGTGCAAAAATAAAAAAGTCCCAAAAAATCCCCCAAATTCCGGTAAAACTCAAAATATTCGAAAAATTCTGAACAATCACAAAATGCTTCATAAAAATTCCGAAAAATTTCGTAACCCTTGAAAAGTCCAAAAAAAGAAACATTTAATTTTTGTATCAATACTTAAGGAATATGATTAAAATTTGCAAAAAAATCGAGAAATCTTTATACAATATTTATAATATAAAAAAAATCTTTCGAATTAAAAAATCAAGAGATTCTCGAAAAATTTTCCAACCCCGAAAAAATTCCAATTTCGTCAAAATTTGACAATTTATGCATTTTCTACCAATGCTTGATTCCGATCTTGCACTGGCAGAAAGTTTCCAAAAATGCGAATGACAAAAAAAATATGTGTTACGTTAAAAATGTCGTGTCCACGTGCCTTTTTCGAATATTTGTATAGTTTGGTTTATGGATTTATGCAGACCTCCGTTTTCCTATTTACTTAAGCAGCATTTACATGAAACGATTTTATAAGTGCTTTCAAAATCGCCTCATGTAAATGCTGATTTATTTATGTGACACTACGTACCGCCAAGTGTTGCCCAAAATAGGAATCGGCTTGGGGCCGGGTATCTCATTGTATGGCAGTGCGTTTTGCCACTCGGCTGTCTCATGCACCACACTTGTTGTTGTAGTATCGTTGGCGGCCAAATGTGGACAGGCCAATTCGGGCTGGGTAACCGTGGTTGCGGTCGTTGCGGCACTGGAATTTTCTCGGACATTAGCCTGTGGCACTGCCCTCGATTTGGTTGCAAAGGCCGCTTGCTTGCCGATCTGATTGAACTTTGTTGCTGCTGCGCCACTAACAACGACTTGGTAATTTGAATTGTTGCGCCACAAGTTGGTCGACAACGCGCGCATATTGCTCATTGTACTTGTTGCAATTAAATTTTATGTTGTGGTCGAAAATGAATTTTTTTTTCACAAAATTTAAATTGAGTTTTTGCTTGATTATCACGTACTCATTAAAATTCACGAATTGTTTCAAATAATTGCTCACATAACCGGACAAAGAGCGGGCAAACTGGGGCCAAAGAAAAAAACATATTTAACGGCTGGACGACGGGGCGAAGGGAGCAACGGTTATGTACACGTCAATCTATGTAATAAAACTGTTTTGGCGGACAGCACACTATGTCACTGTCACACTTGGCGATCGATGTAATTTATTTACATATACATATATATTTCCCGTTACACCACTTCAGACGTCAGACTTTTTATACCCCTTTTTGTGCCAGACTATTGCCACCATTATTGGCGCGCCACTTCCCTTTCAATGCTCCGCTTTAACAAAAAAAGTCAACCACACTTTTTGAAAGTCTCTCGCCAACTGATTTCGATTTCGTCTGCAAATTTTATGCTGCTCAAAATTAATTACACCATGCATAAATATTACACAGCTTTTTACGTGATTTGCCACAAAGCTTTACGTTATACACAAAAGTGCGCAGTGTAGTTGTACTGGTCGCCTGCGGCTTGAAAGCTTATGCTTGGCTTCGTTGTGCAGATGAATTCCGAGTTTCTTACCATTTCGCGGTGCTGAAACTGGGCAAGCCTAAAATAGTCGCCAGCCAAAAAGTGTTCATTTGTGCGATGTGCTGAACTCTACAGCAAAATTCGAAGATAGGAGCTACATATGTACATAAAGCTTAGTGGCAATAGCTGCCGTTCGACTCTGGAAAATCATGAAAAAGCTTTAAATAGAAAAAGTGCTACTACTAAATTGTATGAGGTGGTTTTCTACCTCTTATTCGGTCAGATTCTGTAATTCATACTAAATCTGACTATTTACTTCGGACTATTTCTGGGAGATAAGGAACGCAACAAATATATCTTTCTTAAAACTTTTCTGTTTGACACTCATATTTTTTATTTAATATCTTTCGTATAATCTAACTACATTCGACTTTACAAACAGGTGGCAACACCCTATAAAAGTATTTTTAAACTAAAATGTTCCTAAACCTCTTTCGTCTGATGTTATATACAGAGCTGCAAACCGCTTTCAAAATCGGTACAGTTCGGTTCAGTGGCCTAGTCTGGTCTGAAAAGTCTTGTATGTCGAGGCTCATTGAGATCAAATTCCAATATCCACATGTATAGTTGCGGAAAAATATAGGGACCCGACATTTTAAAATTTTTCGGCTATTTTTCTTTTGTTTATTTAATGTTTATTTTTATTTTTTATTTTTTGAGTATAGCTCATCTAACAAAAACCATATAAATCCAATTTCCGAACTTTATGCAAAAATTTTTAATAGGAATTTCTAGTTTAAGTGCCTTTTTCACAGTGGAGGGTTTGGCTGAGCTTCTCTTATTTTTGACACCGCACTGTTTCTATACACGGTCTCTTGTTGAACACTACCATTAAGCAATTAAAAAAGTGTTTAAATTTTGAGTGTATAAATTATATATTTATTATACATAGTACTTCATTTTAACTTCTTTCACATTTACTTCACCATTTCTTGCATATACTCTGAATAAGTATAATTTTAAATTTGCTTTATTAAGTTATTACAATGTATGTATGTATATACTTACATAAGTAGAGACAATTTTTCTTAAATTTGTATGCTCAATTAGAATTTCATATAATAAATGTGTTTTTAATTGGTTTTGTTTTTATTTTGATAATAATATTAACACAAGTCTTTATATTACGCTTATTTGTTTTAATTAAGCCTATTTTAGCCTAGACTACGTAGAATAATTAATATTTTTTAAATGAAGCAAAGTTATTTTGTTTTTACTTTTATAGATTATAGATGAGCCTTATGTAGTAAATGTATGTATATATATAAGTAGATGCAATGCAACATTCATGATTTGTCATGTGATTTGAAGGAAAAATTTCACATAAATTATGCTGAACTAAAAATTGTATTCGAGTAAATATGGCTAAAGAATTACAGGAAAAAACTATGTTTTTAATTTAATAGACATTTTAACTTAATAGGAATTTTGATGAATTTCAAGTTTTTAAACATTATTTTTGATTAATGCACATTTCCTTGCGTCTTTGCGTATTTATACCTACTTTTGTTTTTATTTTTTTATTTATGTAAATGCGTTAGTCTGGCTTTTGTAAAAAATATTAGTACAATGTAGGTATGCATATATGTATGTATAGTTAAAACTAAGCCGTTCGTATGTATTCTACGAGCTATGCTGTTTTTACAAATGATTTATGTATGTACATACTTATACATATATGTGCGATTTATACATTATACATATTAACTGCTGTTAATTTTTTAGTTTTTTTTTTGTAATTTGTTTTTACATACACAACCGCCATCGTCAATGCAAAAGGCAAATATTTGACACATTCTTGGACAAAAAGGTTTTGATTTAATATTCCTTTAGTTTGCTCTCGGATGCAATATTTGTAAATTTGTAAAGGCATTTTTTTGCTTTTCCTTGAAAATTTCAAGTTTGTCAAATATGGCATTTTGGCAGTGATGATGACGACGTATGTATATGTATTTATGACGGCGGGCAAACAAATAAGGACGCGATATTTTTACAAGTTTTGGCAATTTGTCTTTCTTTATTTAATGTATATAATTTTTTCATAAAAGTATAGCTCACTATCAAACAAAAATCATGTGATTCAAAACTTCAAAAGTTGTAAATACAAAAATTAGAAAAAGTTTACGAATTTCAACGAACGTTCATCAAAATTTTAAAATATTTATTGAATTTTTTAGCCCATTAAATTTTAGTCTAATAAAATGAAATCCCGAAGGAGCTTGGAATTTTCTTTGCTTTTGACAATTTTTTTGCTGACGATGTGCATTTTCCTCCATATAAACTGCCGAAAAGTTAACTTTTAAAAATGTCGCCTCCCTATTTGTTTTCCCGCCACTGTACTTGCGTATAATAATGGCATTCAAATACATTGTTAGCTGCTTAAATAAAATTATTAAACATCTGCCATTTCATAAGTCCAACATTTATCCTTTTAAATAAAAAAAAAGTATGTGGCTTCCAGGATCTTATTTACGAAAATTAAAACTAATTATCTTTTTATGTTCATTTTTGTTTGCATTCATTTTATGTAAATTTTTTATTTATTTTTTAACTGAATTGCTGTAAGTAGTTTTGTAGGCAGTTTTAAGTATTCAAAACTTTTTTGATTTAAAAACATTCGCTTCTTATACCGAAAGATCATTTACTTCAAATGCATTAATCAGCCTTGCACTCCTCAGTGAAGTAATAAAATCAATGACGAAGTGATCATTTAAACAAGGAAGTATGTAATTACTTTTGTATATTTTTTTTTTTTTGAATTTAGTTTTCCACTTAACTTAAAAAGAGTGTAACTTAGGGTTAAATAAGACAATAGTCATATTTTTTTGCTTTAAATGATTGGAGATGTTGAAGGAATCGCTAGCAGTTTACTGAATAAAGTAAAGTGTTAAGTGAGATATGAAATGGCACTTTTGTTTTTGAAAAAAATAAAAGACCTAATTCTAAAATATATGGGTGTAGAGTTTACAACTGCATTTAAAAGCAAAATTGTGAACTGATTTTTCAAGTTGAAAAATGGAAAGCTGGCACATGCGAATATAAACACAAATGAAAGAAAACTTTGAAATGAAAGGGATATAGGTTTTGGTATAAAATTTATTTATACTATAAATGATGGGTATCTTTTTTAATATTATTTTATTCATATTTTACATCTGATAATTTTAATAGCAAGTATTTGTATATAGCGGCAAGGAGTTTCAATTGTGCATGTTTTAATAAATATGAAGTGCAAATACATATAAAAAAGTATCAAGTAGTTAAGTATATACAGGCATAAACAGTCACTCGCATCTAGCAGCTTAAACTTTTCGTAAAAGCATTTTCAATGACAGACGTTAGTCGATAGCAAATTCGGCTCCTTCTGCTAACGAAAACTTATGGCGTTTTTTTTTTCTCGAAAAAATTCCAACTTCTTATATGGCAGCATTATCAGAGCGCAACATTTTAAAGAAAGAGCACGCAATATGCATGTGAAGATGGTGAGAAAAGAACACGAGAGCTGGACAGCCCTGGCACAGGGCAGGCCGTGACTGCTACTTGTAGTTTAACAATTTGTAATTTTTTAACATTTTAGAGATATTTATTTTAAACCAATTCAGCGCCGTTTTCTCATGTAGCTTTTAAAATTTATTTGCCTTTTAAACACAAATTTTTTTCTGAAAAAAAAAAAAAATGAGAAACCGGTCCTTAGTTGTTTCAATTTCGTTATTTGCAGTAGTGAAGTTTATTTTTGAGTTACTCTCAAACTTTAATTAATTACTTCACTTTAAATGCTTAAACAGTAAACATTCGTCGTTCAAATACATACACATACATATATATATATATATATACTGTGAAAATCTTACATATTACGGTTATGTACATGTCACACTTTTTTTTGCAAAAAGAACATTTATAAAATAAAAACTTAAAATAAAAGCACTTTTTTCAATCTCATGCCCAAATCTGTTCCACCTACCTCATCAACCTTTGTAAAGAAAGTCCATTTAAACTTACACGAAATTGTTGATTAGTTTTAAATATGCTAAGATCTTAAACTTTAAATACTAATACATAATGGCAAAAAATAAATTAGCAGCCGAAATGTCATTAATTACACTGAAGCGCACGATTATCGAAAAATATGCTAAATTTCTAAATATAAACCTTAAAAAATATATATGTAGATATACATACATAACACCGGATTTCCACTGGGCATAAAATGACAAAAATATTTAATAACAAAGTTGTGCATAAAAAATGCCAATGCCTTTACACCTTCAAGTTATTATACTACACGGCACTAAGCCTGTTTTCACATGGCATTTTTTGTGAATTAACCATTTCTGTTTGTTATTTCAATGTATTTTCACTGCCCCAGTGGCAATACGGCATAAGTTCATATTTTCTTAAATTGTTTTTGATTCGCTAAGCTTATCGAGGTTTTTGTCGTTACTGCAAACCTTTCAGCAAAATTTACACTTTATCGTCGCCCCACATTAGGGTTGACAAAATTTTCCCATTTGTGTGTTGCACGTTTTCGAAGTTTTTTTTTTAATAATTTCGTTCATTGCATTCATTTGTCCACTTTATTCTATTTACTGCTAAACTTCGAATTCGTTTGCCGTTATTGCACTCAAATCTTTCATAAGTCCCTCGAGGTTGGCCATTTCCTGATTGAGTTCTTCAGTTGAAGTGCTTGGCGCCAATCGTTGTATTTCATCGTTGGAGTGTGCCACTGACGAGCCGCCTTGCAAGCGATTTGTGGGCGTGGCAGCAGAGAAGGAGGGTTTCTTGTAGGGCGATTGATTTTGTGGACGTATTGTGACTGCAGGTGCTGCAAGATAAAAAGTGGGTGTTGTTTAAGATATACGAATGAGAATAGGTAAGAAGTAATTTTTAAGCAAAAAATACAACGGACTTCAATTAAGCATGTATGGGCCGGCCACCCTTGAGGTACCATCTATTCTATAAAAAAAAAAAATAATTGTCGAAAACGGTTCACGTGGTCTAAACTTATCCGGAAACGTACATAAACAAAATCCGATCAATTGATAACTTTCCGCCTTTCTTTTTGCTCGGTACGTTTAGTCTAAAGGTTTTCCATTTTTTTTTTTATCTTTTACAAATATGGGTAATAAATTTCCTTAAGGCCCTCATCACAGACGCACAGTGTTTTATTTTGGGAAAATGAGACAAAATCAAATATCTCGAAAACAAGGAGACATACCGAAATAGTTGTAATGGCGTTTTAAAGATTTTGAGCTGGATAATTTCGGAAAAATATTCGTGTTGGTTAAAAGAACGACTTTTAAAATAATATTCGAAAATATAAGGTTTTTTTTTTTTTTTTTTTTGCTTCAAGCCAGTATGCGATGAACTTAGACATGTTTTTGTAGCTCAAGGAAACTATTTTCACGGTCGCAAAAACAAAAAAACACATTTAAAATGTTTCTTTTTTTTTAAGCACATTGTATGCTGTTTTTGGGTCTACTTTTTGGGGTACTTTTGAAGGTCGATTTTGAGGTCAAGATAATTCATTTAATCAGTCATTTAAAATGACCTTCAAAAAAAAATTTTTTGTCTCTTTTGAACGCAAGCAACAGCAAAAATATGTTTAAAACTTTTAAAAAGTTGCATTGCATACTGCAAGGCGAATTCATACAGGGTGGTGTTACCTGAGAAACAGACTTCAAGGTGAATTTGCGTCGATTGTCAAAATGATGTGTTCTGACTGTCATCGCGCGAATAATTTATTGTTGTAGTTTTTTGTTTTTGTACTGCAGCTATCACCTTGTATGAACTCGCCTTGGCATACTGGTTTCAGGTAAAATAAAATTTAAAACCTATTTTCGAAGGCCATTTTAAAGATGAAGGTAATTATTTGATTCATCTCAAAAGTTTTAAAACAACGTAACATTTATTTAGCTATCGGATCTCTTTCTCCAGCTATTTGATTTTGTCCTTTTTTCCAAAGTAAAACACTATGAGGCGTTGACCTCATCATTCGACCCGAATCTCTTATCGCCGAGCCATTTTTCACATTTGAAATATGGAAATCGGGAGAATCTACTGGATAGTTTAGTAGTTCGACAATCACATTTTTAATTTTGGTCGAAATTCACGAACTTGTAGCCTATTGACAGATCGCAGAAAAATTCATTAAGTATTGCCGTTGATTCCAATTAACGATAGGTCCCGAAACCGGGCAGTTTCGATTGTATTGAACCGAAGGGAGTGGGATATTAGATGTGTTGGATATAAGTTGGGTATGTTGGATAGCAAGATTTATGTATGTGTCTGGAAGGAGGTTCGACTTCAAGCAAGTGCTTGCAGTACTGCACCCTCCGGTTGCATCGTAGCAAGAAAGGCTTGCTCAGCATGATGTTATGCTACTTAACTGGAAGTATTTGCGTTTGGTTCCAATAAGAAAATCACGTTGCATTGATTGCGCAAAAGTAGCGCGAAAAAAAATGTCTGAAGGGTTTGCCCGTTCTCGGAAAAAGGTGAATACGTGGTGAAGTTGACGCATAGATACCCAGTTTTATTGGGACCACTGAGAACCCTGAGTCTTTTACCATGCAAAGAGCCTTGGATAGAAAAATTCAAACATAAGGCAATATGGTCCGAATAGGAGGTAAATAGTTACAAAGCAAAAAATATGCTATACTGGCATTTTCAAATTATAAAAGAACACCGCTTTATAGTTCGTTAGTAACTACTTACTGTGCTTGTTGACTGGTGTTACCCCTCCAGTTGGTGGTGGCCCTGGCACACTGAAACTTTTCAACGGATGACCACGCTTAGAACTCTCAATAGTTGAAACGCCGCCATTGCTGGCTGCGCCGCCGCCAGGGCCGCCACCACCACCACCGCCGCCGCCATTTGGATAGCCAGGATTGCTGTAAGAAAGTATTTCGATTATAGGAATATAATAGGAAATAAAAACGTAGATAAAGCCTAAAATTGCATTAAAAATCACCACTTTTCACTTAAATATAATTTTATTGAAATTTTTTAAAACAAAAATTTCGCTTACATTGATTAAAATACAAAACATTCTGGAGTATAATAAGCAAAATAGCAAATATAGAGACGCACATATGAAGCCACCAAATGCAACCAATTCATTGACAAAGAGTGTACATTAACAAACATAAATTTAGCACTAAATTTTGCTCTCCCCTCCATCCGAACAAACACTGCCGGTGTCTGCATTGCCATCGCCATCACACGTGCTACTACTTATTGACGTATTCGATGACCGCGTTGTATCCTTCTGCGATTTGGTTCGATTTTGTGGTGGCAACAAAAAGTCGCACTGTACCGGACTCCTGCGTTTTCTACGCCTGCGCGCATATAAATTAGAACGCCGCCGTCGACCACGCAACCGCTTCAGTTTGCGTTGCTCCATTGCAATACTCCTATAGGGCTGCTTTTGTTCATCTGACATTGCATTCCATAAGCGCCCTGCCGTTTTTGCGAGGCGTGTACTCTCGCGTGGTGACATCGAACCACAGCCTGGCCGTGTGAGTTCCCCACCACTGGCCTTCATGCGTACTTCGGCAAGAAAATTAAAGAATGGATTTGGTGAGGCCGAAAGTTTCGTGTGACGTATAATTTCGCGATGCAATGTGCTGGGGCTGAACGAGACGCGCGTTTTGCGACGGGACGGCCGAACAAGCGTCGAGAAAACTTCACATATTTTCTCCCAGATGGCTGACATAATACGATTCCTTTGGAAGTGCTGGTTTATAATTTGGATGGGGAATATCAGAAATCTCAATACAACGACTTTTTTTCGAAACGAACAAATACAAACAAAAAAAAATTTGATGTTACACTGAAATTTCGCCTGCCGATGAAAATTTTGATTTTTTATTTAGACATTGAAATAAAATTGAAATATTTTCCATAAAACACTTGGTTGCTAATTATCTTCCACAGCTTATGTTTTCGACACGAAAACGGGGCGTTTGTTTCGCAGGCGCCAAATGAATTAGTAGTTGGTAATTAATTTATTTACTAAGCGATAAGTGATGTTTTTAGAGAATCTCATGCGATTAACTAAGTTATTAGCTGCTAATGTACTTTTCATAAATATGTTTCGAGTGGTAGATCGTAGATCACTTACCAGAAATTTCCCTCATACCCGTAGGGATGCTCAGGTGTTTGTGCCAAAGAGCCTGACTGTTGCGTCAAACTCTGCTGCGAGTGACCCGTGTCGACGGTCATATGTGAGCGGTTGGCTGAAATATTATATTGCGTGCGTGGATATTGGGGTCGCTCCATGGTGGAATTCATCGATGTGGCTAAGCGTGGTGAAGAAAGAATAATTACGTAAATAAAAAATATGTTCAATTATGCTTCGACTTGCAGCGACTTACTCATATAGCCAGGTACATACGAGCGTTTATCTAATGAATTTGTAACCGGCACAGGTGTGTCTACATCGTACTCGTGCACCACGGAGCGTGGCAATGTTAAGGCACCGCTACTCGAAGCACCATCACTACAAACTATAATTGGGAGATGTATGTATGTATGTTTTGCCATCTAACATTTACCAAAAACATTTTTTTTGTTTTTATAGCTACACTGCTTCAACTCACCTGGCGTTGTGCTGTGTATATTCTTATCTATATTCTTTAGCTCCATTTGATCGTGATGTATCCATAGATCTGGCGGCTTTGGCACTCCCACATTTTGGTAGCTACTTAAAAAATATTAAAATTGGTTAGAAACATTTTTGTCAGCTCAACAAATTCAATTAGTAAGAATAGCGTACTCACTCTTCGTACCTCTTCTTGTTGTGATCGGGTGTGGATTGGGGCTTGCGTCGACACACAACCACCATTATTACCGCGAAAACGATTACCACTAATATAACTACACCCACCACCGAATACAGTACGATTTCATTGCTGATACCCTTTGCAATGGGTTTCGGTTCCTGCATCACCACAGTCGCCGACGTCGTATAGGCTACAAGCGCTGAGAAGGGCGCATTACTGGCGCCTTTTCCTACGCGCGCCTGCACTTTGAAATAGTAAGTGGTATAGGGTTTCAAATTGGGCAGCATCATCATTGTCTCATCGCCTGCGAATGCCTCAATGGACCAGTCGCGGTCGCGTTTCGTTGTGTCTGTGGTGTAATAAATGTTGTAGCCGGTTATTTGACCCAGACTGTGTTTGGGTGGCAGCCATTGTAGTATGACATTTTGCGGATTCTGCTCATCCGGTCGTACTGTTAGTTCACGCGGCGGCGTGATTGGCACATTTTGATAAGTGCTGTTCAATACCGACATAGACCATGCGGACTCACGGCGTCCTTTCACAACTTTAACTGCAAACTCGTACTGTGTATTTGGTCGGAGATCGTTGATCATGCAATTCAAGTCGGTGGTGTTGTGGTAGCGATAACGACTAGAACCTGAGATGCCATAGCGCACGGTGTAGTGACGATTATCGATGACATGCTGGTTCTTGCTCAGCGTGGTGTCTATCCAGTAGACGACTATCGATGAGCTGGACATGGTAATGGCTCTGAGGCCTACAGGCACTTCAAGCGGCACGGGTATGTCGAGTGGTTCCTCGTCACGCGTTTTAATGTTGTCATAAATCGGTGGACCGTCGCCTTTGACATTCCGCGCACGCAGCGATACCACATACTCTGTATTTGATTCTAGATTTTTTAGTACATAATAGCGTTCCGATTCTTTCAATTCGATTGAGTTCTCATCAGGTATTCCACGACCCCAACCGAGCACATAGCTACGTATTTTGATTTCGTGCTGCTGTGGTGGGCCCCAATGCAACGCAATGTTATCGCCACCAGGATGTATGCCGATCCAAACGGGTTTGCCAGGCACCTGCGTCTCGTCCAAATCGTTTTCGAGCGTCATGACACGATTCCACTCGGTAAAGGGGCCCGAGCCATTCACGGTCATAGCGGCAATTTTTATTTGGTACTCAGAGTGACGTTCCAAGCCGTTTAGCTCGAAGTAGCGTATGTTTGCTGGCGTACTCTTCACTTGTGGCGTATCTTTTAGTTTTCTGTAGCGAATTTTATAGCCTGTGATTTGACCGTTGCGCTCCTCTTCAGCTGGTGGCTCCCAGTGTACTGTAACAGACTGCGGGCGGATGAACAACAATTAGGTAGTGAAGGGAAAAGTTACTTATAAGACATAAAGCTATATATATACATATATGTATGTATAGTCTACGAAGAAGGATACCATAAATATTATGTAGCATAAAACTAAAAACAAAATACAACAATAATATAGCTCAACATAACATAACAGCATAATATGACACAATAAAACATAACATAGAATAACACCAGAAACATATAAAAAAAAAAAAATCGAATTCTCCAAAACTCACCGTTGAACTTGTTACTTCCAGCGTCACATTATTCGGTGGTTCTGTGGGTGTGGATGAGTAAGTCTTAACCTTTATCTCATTTGATGGGTCACCCATGCCATTCTTGTTGAAGGGCACCACAGCAATGGTGTATTCGGTATAAGGACGCAACTCGGAGAGCAAAACACTCAGAGACGTGCTATCTTGATACATTTCAGCGCCGCTGTCATTCTGAAAACAAAAAAAAAAAAAACGATACAAAATAAAAACTGAGCACTTTCCAAGCTCATATCGATGCATCGGGATCGACGCTATACCTCAGAATAGTATATACGATACTTCAATATATCGCCATTGGTTACTGTGGGAGGATCCCATTTAACGAAAATCTCTCTTTCGCTTGTCGCATGCCCATCAACGTTGCGTGGCGGACCAGCAATATTTTCCTCCGGTTGAGTGAGTACTTCCAAAACCTTTCAACGTAAAAAAAACCGATTATTTTTAATATTAAAGCAGTTAAAATTTAAAGATTTACCTCAGAAGAGTCACCGGGTCCAAAGTTGGCATTGGCCACTACACGGAACTGATATGTTTTTCCAGGCAACAAGTTTTGTATATTCACCTGTTGGTCATCATGAGATTTGGTGACGATTTTTTGTTCGCTAAATGTTACAGAAATAAAGAGAATTAGTGAACATATAAAGTAGAGACTTTACGGTGAAATATTATTTGTTGTAGTACTCATGTAGCGTAGTTAAAAAATAAGGAGCCTTGACCCATTCTATTCGATTCTATTTGAAACCATCTCATTTGGAGAGCTTTTCCAAGTAGCTGAATATTGAAATTAAATAGCTTAAGGAAAGTGTTTGTTTGTTTGTCGCCTACTCAAGTCTGTCGCGTCGACATCCTGAGCCTACCCATCGGCACGGAGTAGCTCAAAGACAATGCGGAAGATGTCTGCTTTCCACTATGCTTGACTAGCTTCTTCTGCACATCACCACACGCCATTAACTCTGCACAGTAGCTAAATAAATATATGCAAAGTCATTGCGCCAAATACAGAAACAATGTGAAGGCGCGCGATTAAAGGAAGAGCAGTAAATAGCTATTGCCAAAATAAGGAAATTCTACTTGGCAATTTGCAAAAGATGTTTTCAAATTAAATTATTGAATTGACAGTGGTGCCGCCGAAGTAGCAGACAGACTTCGCGCGACTTCCGTTGTTGGCGTCTATGCGAGGCATCCAGCAAATTACTGTGTTTCAGTGATGAGGGAGAGCAAATGAGAAAGTCCTTAGACAATGCTTAAGAGAATGGGTGCAGTTAAAACGAAATGGCGTCAACAATTTGTTTTTAATATGAATTCTCACTTTTTGTCTTTGCATAGCAGAAAATGAATTACTTTATTGGTTTTTTGTTTGCCAATTGGAAAGACTTTGTAGAAAAATGGAAAACCAATAAATTGGCAATGTCGCACAAGGAACATAATAGTCTGTGTTGACTCGGATACCATTTATTTTAGGCCAGAAAATAATATAAAAAAAGTGAGGTGTTGCAAAGTCTACTACAGCTGCCATGTAAAGGAACGGCAATTCAATGATGAATTTTTGGTGGTAAAGAGACTTCGTCGACACATATTGTTGCTCACCTTAATGGACGAGCGACTTGCCAAAGCTGAATTCCACTGGACTTAAACGTAAAGGCCACACCAAGCAGTAAAAAAATAATGTTTTACTTGAGGCTTATAAATATCCTACAATAATCCATTCGGCTTACACAGCACTAGTAGGTGCAATCTTTCTTTATGGTACTCTTGTGTGGTGGACTGCAAAAAGAAATTATATGTATCTACCCGAAAAGATACTCAGCATACTACCGATCGACTTTGCTGAAGAAAACTTTGCGATCAAATCCACAGGACTTCTGATGGAAAAAAGCTATGATCAGAGAGCCGAAGTGGACTACTTGGCCCCACGCTTCAAATTGGGAAAAGTTGATCTAGACTGCTGTCGAAAAGCTTTTCGAAAATGAAGAATGTCGAAAAGCTTTTCGAAGGAAGGACCAAAGGCACGCCAAAGGACACGAAATAGTGGATACGATGGTCAAAAGCGCAATTCATTTAGCAATTGTACAAGAAAACTACGGGTACTTGTATAAATTTAAAATGTTGGAAAAAGTATGTTTTTTTTTGTAACCAGGGTAGTTCCGAAGATACCTAAATTAATCATTCTGTCATCTTGAGACGTAGATTAGGTTAGGTTAGGCTGCCCCGCGCAGAGCGTAAAGAAATGACTAACTGATTTTTAAATAATGAATGGATGTACATTTGTTGTTCGAGATGGAGGGTAACGAAAATATCATGGAAAGGCAGTCATTTACGCTTTGGACGGAATGTTATTTTTTCTGACTAATCGACACTTAACGAGTACCTCTAGACAGGATTGAAACCAAATGCTCTCTCATAAAAACTACTGACTAATTACTTGTTGATATTTTTAGCAGAGTATCGAGATATCACTTCAGTGCAAGTTTCTTTTTTTTTTAAATAACTTGCATCCATTAATAAGTAGAAACCAACTTAACAAATCGTGCAATTTATTCTCTCAGATTGAACTCAATCACATACGCTATTAAGTTTTAATCAAAAATTCACTTACCGTTCACTGTTGTTCATCTTGTAAAACACTGTGTAGGACACAACTTCGACTGGGTTTTTCATCGGTTCCATCCAACTGAGCGTCACAAAGCGTGGCTTCACAATTTGCGCAACCAAATCACGTGGCGGACTCGGCAAACGATTCAGCAAAGCACCATTTATATGCGTAACACCACCGACGGTTTGAAGAATGCCACCAGCTGCGTCTGTCCTGGCTACACCAGTAATGCCTATGTCAGCTTCGAGTCCATCTAAATCTGAGGATAAGTAGGAGGAACTTGATGACGCCGCTTGTGAATTGGATGTGGCTGAGGATATTTGTTTTTTATTTTTATTCTTCCAAGAGTTCAGTACTTTGTTGGGATCGTCACCGTGCTTGTAAGCGTCAATGAACTCCTGATTGTCTTTCAAATCGTCGTAATCGTCTTCGTCATCATCACCATCTTCCTGGT